CTATTTATTCAAGTAGCTCTCTAGGTCGCTCATGCACAGCTATTGTCTTCAGTCTGTCCTGTGAGAATAAAATGTTGCAATTCTCATTGTGTGCCTTTCAAATTTCAACTCCCACTTTCTGGTGTTAAGTAGAAGTGTTCTTTTTTGTTTCCAGTTTCTCTACAACTTCGTTGTTGCCCACACGTTCGGCACAGGATATTCCTATCATCCTTGTACAGAACCACATTTCTGTCCTGTCAAGTCTCTATTTCATCTGTGAGGAGAATGTCCACATTTCAAGGCCCTATAGGAAGAACTGATATCCCCTCACGATCAGTACTCTTTTCAATTAAATAAATATTGTGTTCAATGTAAAAAGTAATTATATTACGATAAATTGCAGAAAGATAACTTAAATTAATAATAAGTCATTTAATAATGATTTCAGATGAATGCTTACGAGTGGGCATACCATTATTTATGAAAATAAACAAGATAACTAGAAAAAATATCACCGAAATTAATTTTATTATATATATATATATATATATATATATATATATATATATATATATATATATATACAGTACACTCCTTCTTCTGCTGCTGCTTCTTCTTCTTTGTCTTGTTCACATCCTCATTCTCCCTTTCAATTACACCCAACGTCATGCGTTTATTTATTTTTAAAAACAATAATATAGCGTTCTTTACTTTTTTTAATAAAAAGCGTTCGGTGATCATTTGATAAAAAAAATCCTCGGAGGATACCGTACGATTGAAACCTAGGTAGGGGCTTTAACTAGCGTCTTGATTTTTAAAGTGAAAAGCTCTACATGTTATTTTTACTTTTGTTTTTCACCCTTTTTAATACTACTGTTTCCTGGTCTGATTTATCTCTGACCATTAACCTTTTATGTATTATATATATATATATATATATATATATATATATATATATATATATAATGTAAATCTATTTAAAATCAGTGGGTGAAAAGACAAATAGGCATCCGGGAAAAAAAAAAAGCCAGAAGTCTCCGCCCAGAAGAAAATCGTCCAGTATCATAAATTTCTGGTACAAAGCAAAATATCAAGGAATAAGTTAAATCGAAGAGTGCCCAATACCTAAGTAGAGCAAAGGTAAAATAAATAAATCCTCATGAGTCAGGTACTACCTACCTATATTTATATCACATGGGATCATCACCTTGATGAACCTATGTGATGAAAAACCGACATAAGTAGTACCTGCTCATTACGAAATATATATATATATATATATATATATATATATATATATATATATATATGGAAAACAATCTTACATTTTACCGACGCGTTTCGTCTTCCGACTTTTTCAAGGCAAAAATGAAATCGAAATGTTCTTTATAGTAAGGGATTATTATTTTTTTTTTTTTATAAACGTAAACGTTTTTTCTATAACGGTAATTTACATTAACCAAAAAAAAAAAAAAAGGCTTAGACACAAGCGTCTATCTTTTTAAATTTGGATTTTTTAATGTAACTATAAGAAAAAAAAACATTTCCATTTCATTTTTGCCTTGAAAAAGTCGGAAGACGAAACGCGTCGGCAAAATGTAAGATTTTTTTCCACTTGTCATTTGATGCCAATCTGTCTTGTCCACAGAATTCATCTGAGAATTTAACTATATATATATATATATATATATATATATATATATACTCATACCAATATATAGATTTGTACACATCATACACATCCCTAAAGAATTAAAAGATAACCTACACTTAACACACACACATCCCCCACCCAGTAACCAATAAAACTCAAAATGACCAAGAAAGGAAATTCTTCCACTCATAAATCTCCCCTGCCTCTATCTTAAAACCAACTCGACCGACAAAAAATTAAAGATAAAAAAAAACAAATGAAAACTACAGGTAGAATTCATTTTCTTCATAAACAGTCATTTACTCCTGTAGTTCACTGCTCCTAAGAAGCAGAATTTTTCTCTCCTAAATTTTTCTTTCTCCTGATGATAGACATGCTGGCCGAAACTAATCGAGGAATCTAACTGAAATAATAAACAAAAATAATAATAATAATATACAACTCAGTGTGTCTAAAAATCTTAAGTTTTAATAATTTTTATTGTTCAAAGCACACACACACAGATATATATATATATATATTTTATTCAAAAAGAATATATATATATATATTTTTTATTCAAAAAGAAAGCGCCGACTGTATCGACTTCCGGTCTGATGAAAAAGCCAGTGTCAGTAATGTCGGCTTTCTGGTAAAATTTGATCAATATTTTGCAATTAAACTACGGCGGGCTTCTGTCAAGCAAAACTGATGGTTCACGAATGGCTGGAGTTTGCGTACCTTCTTCTAGCGCCCCTAGGCTTCCATAAAAGGAAAAGTTATATATATATATATATATATATATATATATATATATATATATATATATATATATATAAAAAGTCAATAGATAAAATAAAGTCAATGACTTATCTTCCAAATCAGAGTCACGTAGAAATACATCCCCACGCCCTGATTAATATAAATCAATTCTTAACTTATTTTACCCCAGATGTGCGGATCTATGTCTGTGAAACTAATTTGATATTAAGGCTCTATTATTTAATAGTGGTTTTCCTCTTTGGTACAGATATTTTACAAATTGATTGGGGACAAGTTTTCCTCAGTTTACAGTTGAAATGGCTAGACGTAACCGTAAGTTCTATGCTAACAGTTTCTTGAATCACATTACTGTGGAACTCTCCACTGGCTTCTTGGTTCCCAGTCAACTTTGATCATCAGAAATTTAGGTCTAATGTCAAACGTTATCTTCTGCTAAATATGCCTGAGCAAGCGCCTGCTGAAGATTTTTACTTGCTACTTTACCAGAAGGGAATTTTAGCAAACTATCTCTGGACCTACGTTGTTTGTAATTTTTATTAATGGCCGACCTGTATGCCCCAGTTTTCAGAATTGTTTGTATGCTGATGACACATTATTTACTCATGTCACTGTAACTCTGATCGGTTTGATAAAGTCATATTGGTAGTACCTGTTGTTTACTGGGGCAAGAAATGACTTCTATATGTTATTCCTTTCACAACGATTAAAAATGGCTTCGTTCAAGTGAATCATGTAGGTGCCATGTATTCTAAGAAATAGGTATCAAAATAAACCTTTCCTAAACAGAAACTAAGATCTTAGAAATTAGAATGAATGACGTAATGTCACTGATATAATGAAATATGCATACACCTGAGTTCCCCCTCACTGGATTATGATTGGCTGGTGTCCGACATAAATACCGACGGACGTGTAGGTACAACAGAGTTTAAGTCTGGGGCGACGCGCATTGGACTACGCCATTGGCTATCCTATTGGTTTACACTTATTACCTGTGATTACGACGAGTACCAGTCGATTACTGCTACCGTGTACTACTTGGTTACAGTAGCCAAAACCCACTTAGCTACTTCGATCAAATATATCACTTTCCGGGACATATCAGTCACGTGACCTGATAAAGAAATTTAGCGCGTTGAATTAATAAATGCTTCAAATACCTCGATGTATGGATCTATTATAATAAATTTTATATGGTTGATAAGGAAACTGAACATAGAATAGGCTGCATTAGGGATAGTTTCACTCAAGACAACTAGTTGCTACAAAACCTAAACATTAAGCTACAAAAACTCGAGAGTTATGCTTAAATAGACTCGTCAGATTGAAAACTACACGTGGATGACATATACGGCGTCCAAACCGTTAAGAAATATCTAAACTGTAAGCACATGCCATCTATTGATGAAAGATGAAAGCAAAGACAACTGGCGAAGACTGGCGCTGCAAAATCGCATACAAAGAACAATAGCAAATATCAGAAATCACATCACTTGAAGACTTTTAACAACAGCGACAACTAAAATGGATGTAACGTGTAATTCGAAGAGAAAATAATGGAATAATGCTGACATTCCAATCTACTTCAAACAATGTTTCGGAAGGATATCCCAGCGATGACACATGGCCAGAACTATACTCCATACGACGGCTTTCGCAATGCTTATACATAGCTTTGTTCAAATGAAGCATGTAGATGTCAGTGAGCATCATCGTTGTTTGAACCTCGTAGAATTTCATCAACAGCAGCGACTTATATGGATATCACATATAAAACGAAGAGAAGATAACGGGATGATAGATATATTGACGTTCCATACTACTTCAAACAAAAGGTTAGGAAGGAAACTAGCATCTGTACGGAAAAGAGCAATAACAACAGACTTGAGTATTTTATTTTCCTGAAAAATTATTTAAATAGAAATATTTTAGAAATTTCAAGTGATGGTAGCACTGGCCACTCACTCAATAAATGTCGATTATTAGTTAATTGGTAACTGTTAATACTACACAGTACCAATACTATTAGGATTGCTATAGAATGATCTATCTATTTTTAGATTTCTCTATTCCTCGCTGTGGAACAGCATCTAGAATTAACATCTCTGGTGACAGGTTTAATTTCTTATTGGTCTGTCCTCGAACATGGCATTGTAACAATTGCCAGTGAACTTAGTAGATATTCCTCACCTTATCCGGCTATAATTTAGCCCATTAAACTATTTTAGGGAAAGAGTATTTTGTAGGTATTTTGGGAATGCCAGAATGAAAATATAATGGAAGTGTTTAAGACCAACGAAGCTAGATTCTTAATACGCAAAAGTGTCGCTTACTAGAATGTTATTTTTACTTTTGTGTTCTTTCTGTTTTTTTTCTGTCTCGATGTTCTTTACTAAAAAATGATGAAAATAATTTTCCATAATCGTGTGGCTTTTCGAATGCTATCCGAAATGAAGAAAGATGAATGGTAAATGATAGAAAAAAATAATAAAATGTATGGCAATTAATTCGTGATTACAGAAGAATTGAAGACTCGAAGATCCGGTGAAATGGTAGAAGCTGAAAAGGAAAGAAACGAAAAAAAGAAAGAGATTATGTGTTTGACTAGAAAAAAAGAAAGAAAGAAAGAAAGATTGAAAGAAAGAAAGAAAGAAAGAAAGAAAGAAAGAAAGAAAGAAAGAAAAAAGAAAGAAAGAAAGCGATTGTGTCTCTGAATGGAGAGATAGAAAGAACGAGATAAAAGTGATTATATCAGAATATGTAAGAAAATAGAAAGAAAGAAAGATTGAAAGGAAGAAAGAAAATGATTGTCTCTTAATGGACAGATAGATAGATATCTAAATCTGTAAGAAAAGAGAAAGAAAGAAAGAAAGAAAGAAGGAAAAAGAAAGTGAATATATCATAACGTTTAAAAAATTGGAAAGAAAAATATTATATCTAAATATATAAAAATAGAATGAGAAAAAATTCAGAAAATATAAAATATATGGTAATTAATTCACGACTTGAGGAGAAGCGAAAAAGCTAAGAAAGAAAGAAAGAAAGAAAGAAAGAAAGAAAGAAAGAAAGAAAGAAAGAAAGACTACGGGAACGTGAAAGAAAGCAATAAAGGAAGAATAAGAAAACGTGACAGAAAGAAAGCACGAAAGGAAGAACGAAAGATAGAGTTGAGACTGAAAGGAAGAAAACAAGAGATTTTTTGCTTGAAAAGACAAGAAAGAAAGAAAGAAAGAAAGAAAGAAAGAAAGAAAGAAAGAAAGAAAGGAATAAAGCGATTGTGTCTCTGAATAGTGAGATAGAAAGAACGAAAAAAGAAAGTGATTATAGCTGAACGTGTAAGAAAATAAAAAGAAAGAAAAAAGACAGAAAAAGAAAGAAAGAAAGAAAAAAGAGAGAAGAAAGAAAGACGGTGAATATATCTTAATGTGTAAGAAACTGGAAAGAAAGAAAGAAAGAAAGATATAATATCTAAATTTATAAAAAATAGAATGAGAAAAAAAATAGAAAATATATGGCAATTAATTCACGACTTTAAGAGAAGCGAAGAAGCTAAGAAAGAAAGAAAGAAAGAAAGAAAGAAAGAAAGAAAGCGGGAAATTAAGAAAGATAGAAAAGTAGAAAAAGAGAGATTAAGGAAAGAAAGAAAAAAGAAAGAAAGAAAAACAAAATGCGAAACAAAGACAGAAAGAAAGAAAAGGAGAAAGAATGAATAGAGAAAAAGAAAGAATAAAACGTAGAAGAAAGAAAAAAGAAAGAATATACTGAAAGAAAGAAAAAGAATAAAGAAATGCGAGAAAGAAAAAATAGGAAAAGGAGAAAGAAAGAAAAAAGAAAGAAAGAAAGATAGAAAGGAGAAGAAAAAGGAGAAAGAAACGCAAGAAAATGAAAAAGGAAAAGAACGAAAAGTGAGAAAAAAAGAAAGAAAGGAAATCAAAAGAAGAAGAAAAGTGAGAAAGAAAGAAAATCGAGAAACAAAGAAAAAAGAAAAGAAAGAAAAGCGAGAAAGCAAGCAAGAAAGAAAGAGTAAGAAAACGAAAAAGAAAGAAAGAAAGAATGAAAACAATGACAGAAACAAAGGAAAGAGACAAAAACGAGGAAGAAAGAAAGAAAAGAAAGCGATTAAAGAAAGAAAGAAAGAAAAAAAGAAAGAAAAAGAAAGAAAGAAAGTGATTTCTCACTTCCTTTCTTTCGATAAAGAAAGTGATTTCTCACTTCCTTTCTTTCGATAAAGAAAGAAAAGCGATAAAGAAAGAATAAGAGAGCTAAACAAAGATGAAAAATGACAGAGCCATAGAAATTTTTAAAAAAAGACGAAAGAAAGTAAAAATAAAGAAAGAAATATAAATTTAAAAAAACAACAAAAAAAACAAATTCGATGAATTTTCGAAAATTATCAACCGGGCCAACTAAGGATTTGAAAATGAAATATTTGATGATTGGTCAGTGAATCCGAACGAGGAATTTTGATCATGCCACTACTATTTGTAAATGAAACAGAAGGAATGAGATACTAAATTAACGACGACTACAAAATGAAGAAATAAAAACAGTTAGCAAGGAAGAAACAAAAAGCATTATGGGATATAAATTAGGAAGCATGATTTGTTTTTTACAACTTATCAACGCCTCTGTGGCTCAATTAAAGCGGCCCTCTATTTAAACATTGACCGTGCTTGATCACACCAGTTTTCGTGATGTTGTTACAGTTTAAACATTGCCTCTCCGCTAGCAGTGTTCACTGATTAGGTAAAAAGAGCAGTGATGCGTTTCTGAAGAGAACACGTTGAATCATCAATGATAACTGGCCTGTTCACCATTACCATCTTTCGAGCTTGCAAATTCTTCTCATCAGTGGTGGAGGTTGGCTTGTGTCCTGCTCTTTCTTCGTGCGTCACTCTTGTCCAGCCACATTTAAGCTTCTCGATCCACTTTTCTGCCCCGTGGTGCATTGTCGCCGTATTAAAAAACCTCCGATGAATTTCAGCCACTGACACTGTTCTTTGTTCCTTCTTGGCATACACTGCTAGCGGAGCGTCCATGTTTGCACTGTAATAGCAACAAGAAAACTCACGAGATCAAGCTCAAACTTTGAACACGTTTCCAGATGAGTGCCAACTATATGCACTCATGAGCAGAAGGGACTGTGACAAACCTAAAGGTACGTTATAGCGAAATTGTGGATTTTTTTTTACTTGCTCTCGTATATATAAAAAAAAGAAATGTAATTTGAAAAAAGATAAGAAAGAATTCGAAGAGCTTTTTGAAAATTAGCAAACCGTTGATCAGGCTTGGCATTGCTTAACTTTTATAATCGTGAGAGAACCTGTGTTTTCAGCGTGATTTGAACGGAGACGAATAAGAAAGAACATATGTGAATTAGAAAAAAAAGAAAGGACAGAGAGACAGACAAATAGAAATAAAGAAAAAAGAAAGAAAGAAAGAAAGACAAAAGGAAAGAATATATAAGATATGTTCTTTTGCCTTCCATTAGTATGGCTGATGCTAACCAACAGAAGAGTTAAGCATTGCGCCTTTTCAGACAAACGTTTTCCGCTGACATAACCTGGAAAGAATATATTGAATAAATTGTTAGGTTCCTTGCTAGGAAAGTTGGTTCACTGTCCCACAAGAAAATTTTTATCACCAGAATCTAGCTTACATATTTATTCGTCCTTGCTTTGAATATTGCTGCCACATTAGGTCTGGTGCACTTGATATATATTTAGAAATTCTTGATAAAATCCAAAGAAGAATCTGCAATGTTATTGGTCTTGACCCGGCATCTCGGCTTTAGTCACTTTCACAGCATCATTCCTTTTATCTATAAGTCTACCGTTCGTCCTTGCTTTGAATATTGCTGCCACATTAGGTCTGTTGGCCCTGCTAGATATTTAGAGATTCTTGATAAAATCGAAAAAAGAAACTGCAATGTTATTGGTCCTGACCTGGCATCTTGACATTAGTCACTTTCACACCGTCAGTCTTTTTATTTATAAGTCTACCGTTCGTCCTTGCTTTGAATATTGCTGCCGCATCAGGTCTGGTGCCAATGCTATATACAGTGTAACCCGGATATAAGTGACCCGGATATGAGAGAAACTCGGATATAAGAGAGATTTTCTCTGGTCCCAAATTAGAGCCTGTGTTAATGTATATAAAATAGACCAAACCCGGATATAAGAGAAACCCGGATATAAGAGACTTCTTCTCCGGTCCCGACAATTCTCTTATATCCGGGTTACACTGTATTTAGAAATTCTTGATAAAATCCAAAGAAGAATGTGCAATGTTATTTGTTCTGACTTGGCATCTCGGCTTTAGTTTCTTTCAAAACGCCGTAACATAGCTTCCCATTTCCTTTTCTATAAATGCTTTCGTGCTAATTGTTCTTTTTTCCTGCTATGGTACCTAGACTTTAGGAATTTAAGTGCGGTACTAGTTTGGCTGCAAGGTGCCATAATTTTGCAGTTGAAATAGCTAGATGGAACCGTAAGTTCTATGCTAACAGTTTCTTCCATCGCACTTCTCGCTTTTGGAACTCACTTCCGGTTACTTGCATCCCTGTCACCTTTGATCTTCTAAAATTTAAATGCAATATCAATCGTTATCTTATGTCTTCTCATTTCTTGTTTTTATTGCCCTCTCTACTTAGTAATATCTTCTTCCCATATTCTCTTACACTCGGTAACTAATTACGTCTTAGTGGCTTTATAGCCCTGATTTAGATGAAATGATTAATGTATATATATATATATATATATATATATATTTACTAATGTCCACCCAGTACATGGTCCAAGAGCCATTCAAGGTAGAGGGCTACTGTGTGATGTTGTATTATTAGAAGAAAGAGCAATACGTGAAGATCTTGGGGGGTTATGAAGGAAAGATAACTGCTAATTCTGTACTTGAAGAGGGCAATATTTAATTTCAGAGTTCAGTTGGAGACGTTAGAAGTATAGTATGGAATAGACTTTGAAAAAAAAATGGAAACCCAATCCTTGTCAGAAAACAAAGGATTAACCTTTTCTCCTGTTCAAAAGACGGATAGGAGTGTGAACTGGACGTTAGGTGAACCTATCTAAAGAGGCAGACAATAAGAAAGACCTGAGATACAAATTAGAAAGAATGGACATATGAGCATTAGAAAGAAAGAAACAAACAAAAAAGAAAGAAAGAGAAAACGAAATTAAAAAACAAAATAAGAAAGAAAGAAAGAAATTAAAAAAGAAAGAAAGAAATAAAAAAACAAAATAAGAAAGAAAGAAAGAAAGAAAGATAGGAAAAAGAAATTAAGAAATAGCATAAGAAAGAAAGAAAGAAAGAAAGAAAGAAAGAAAGAAATTAAAAAACAACATAAAAAGGAAAGAAAGAAAGAAAGAGAAAAAAGAAAGAAAGAAATTAAAAAACAAAATAAGAAAGAAAGAAAGAAAGACAGAGAACAGAAATGAAGAAATTGAATAAGAAAAAAGAAAGTAAGAAAAAAGAAAGAAAGAGAAAACGAAATTAAGAAATTCTACAAAAAAGATAGAAAGAGAAAAAGAAATTAAGAAATAAGCTATGTGTATAAGAAAGAAATATATAACATGATATATAAATTAGAAAAAAAATGAAAGAAAGAAAAAAAATAATAAACGAATATTAATTATGAAAAGAAGAAATCCTGATGAGAAAGAAAAGAATAAAATTAGAAAATCCGATTCTTGATAGAACATCAGAAATGTGTGTTTTTTTTTTTTTGTTTGTTTGTTTTATCTAATTGCAAATCCTGGCAAAAGGCAGAAGCACAACACCGAACTGGCACAAGGTAGAAAATGTTGATACAATGACATCGAAAAAACTGAGACTGAACGAGATCTTCAGAATAAGAAACAATGATCGAACGACAGAATTAGTTTTATTATGAAAGAAAAACAAAGAAAAAAAGACACATTAATTCTTTGGAATCATTCAACTGAGCCATCATTTAAAAGCGACTCGAATCAGCACCAAAAATTGCTTTTCGGATAATTGTCTCAGGCTGGATCAATTTGATCTATTTTTCATCTTCCCAATACAAATGTCGCCTTATTTTGGCCTCTCCAAATTAAATGCTAAATAACTTCTTTTTTTTAAGTGACACTGCCTCGTCTGTTGTTTGGACAGCGAATAAAGATGTGTATTCTTGAAGATATTTTATGGGTTGGACCAAATCAGACATCAGATCAAGTATTGTTAGGCTATTGAGAAAGTATGCCTTTCACCGCTATGAATTATGGGTCAAGCAACCAAGGCAGGACGAAGGCTGAATCGTATAAAACTGTATCTAGAATTAGTTTATCAGTTCTTCTGTTAAGGTATTTGAATATTAATTACATATCTCACCGCTATCAATTATGCCGGTTGACATTTTTTCGGACCAAATGTTGTCAGGCAATGGGCCTCATGTTTCTGGGCTATTTTTTCACGCTGAATCTTAAAATCAAGTCTATTTTTTGCTATCACATCACGTTTTCTCAGTACATATAATTTCTATTACCGATATGAATTATGAGTCTACCAGACAAGATAGAACCAAGATTGGATAGTAACAAACCACGTCTGAGATAGGATGCAAAAGCATGTCTCAGGTTCATCTGTCCCTGAACGTCTCAAGAGATTTGGGGGAAAAGGCAAAGATAGAAATACGTTTCCCTCTTAGGAATAAAGAACATTTGAAAGACATTATTAAATTGGAGCGACGTCAAACCGCCACAGATCGGATGTAAAAATATATCAGGTTCAACTGTCCACGAACGTCACAAGAGAATTGAGGAAACGTGCAAAGATGGAAATATGTGTCCTTCTTGAAGTTTCGTTTGACAACCGGATACAACGTCCCATCTGCTACAGTAGTCTTTGGACCAACAATGTCATATGTTCATCTTTGCATCGTATTTTAATGATATGAATTATGAATCTAGCAGCCAAGACAGAACCGAGATTGAATGGTAACTAACTAAATCTAGAATTAGTTGACCATCTCTATTATTAGTCTGTTCGGAAACTAATTACGTATTTCATCGTTATTAATTATGATTCAACCAACTATGGCAGAACCAAAATTGAATGGCAGGAAACAAGCGAAGAATTAGTTTATCATCTCTCCTATTAGAGCATTCAGAAAGTAATTACGTATTTCACCGCTATGAATTATGGGTAAACCAACCAAGGTACGGCCAAGATTGGATGGTAGAAAAATGTATCTAGAATTAGTTTATCAACTCTTCTATTAGGATGTTTAAACTGTAACTGTCTTTTGGAGAGGATTATCATATCTTGTATCAATTAGGTATTTCACCGCTATGAATTATGGGTAGACCAACAAAGGCAGAACTAAGATTGAATGGTAACAAACTACGTCTAGAATTAGTTGACCATCTCTTCTATTAGACTTAGTTATTGATTACAAGTCAATCAACCATAGCCGAATTAAAACTGAATGGTAAGAAACCATGTCTTGAATAGGTCTATCCTGTCGAGAAAGTAATTACGTATTTCACCGCTATGAATTATGGGTAGACCAATTAATTCAGAAGCAAAGTCGAGTTGACGGATACTGCGTCTAGAATTAGTTTCATATCCCTTCTATATTTGTAAAGTAATTGATTATTTCAACGTCACGAATCATAGTGATTTTCGAAGCGTAGACTAGATGTGGTACAAGGCCAAACGTATGGTGAGGACTGAAGTCACCATTCAGCCGTAATTGAACTATCGAGACAAGCTTGCTAAACATTACGACCCGCCGAAGAGCCCCACCGCTATGAATTATGATTCAACTAAATGGAAGCAAGATCAAATATTAAGAAACGATGTCGAGAATTAGTTCATCATTAGCGTGTTCGTAATGATAACAATAATGATAATCGTAAAATTATCCGTTTCCTTATTACTGCGGTGGCCTCCCTTTAAAGAGTCTATGTTTGACTCTTCCGCCTACTATAAAATTAGTAAGAGAGAAGGCCTTGGGGAAACGGTGCTCCAAACCGTTCATGACTGCCAAACTCTCCCACTCGGCGGAGAGGAACCCGGACGAAATTTTGCCGAAGGGCAAAGTTTCATCCGGTAGACACGCCCTGAACCCACTTATGCGGGTTCTAAGGGAATATTTTTGGCGAGCCTACGGGCTCGGAGAACCCACGATAAACTCGGCTTTGTGCCACATACAACCCACGTGGGGGGTCGTTAAATATAACCGTTCAACCGTCGAAATCTCTGCCTTGAGCAAAGAGAAACCTGGACGAGGCTTTGCCGAAGGGCAATGTTTCGTCCTGGGAGGTAGACAGACCCTGAACCCGTCTATACGCGATCTAAAGGAATAAACACGGCCTTGTGCTAAATACATCCCTTATGAGGCCTGTTAAATATTAACAGTCGAATAGATTGTTCTACCGGCTGTGACTCTTTGCCTTTGGACAGAGAGGAACCTGGATGAGACTCGGCCCTGCGGCGACTACGGGGATCTTTTGGCCGAGTCTACCAGCTCGGATAACCCACGTTAAATTCGGCCTTGTGCCACATCTACCCTCTTGGGTGAGGGCGGCTAAATATTAACAGTGGAATAGACTGAACACCGGGTCAACCGACACACACTCACAAATCTTGTAATACTCTTCTGTTGTACTTACTGTTTAATGTATGGTATATCTGCAAGACTTGTTTTGTTATTTCTTTAACCATTTACTTGGCCACAACACTTATAAAGAAACTTTCGTCATTCACTGACCGAACGGCCGGTGGTACTGTCGATTTAAATTTATATAGAGAAGGCACGGTGGAGTAATGGATAGCGGCTTGGATTGAGGAATCGGAGAGCCGAGTTCGAATTCCAGTCGAATCCATTACATTCACTTACGTGCTAACACCCTTGGGAAATGTGTGAATCCTCTTTCTTCTCCCTCCAGCTATGGGTAAATAGCATGACAGACTGGGTTCTATAGCCTTGGATGGCAACTGGTCTAGGAGAAGGAAAACGCTGAATTCAAACCTGCTCTTAGAGGAGGGTGAATGAAGTCTCTCTGAGCCTTGGTTGGCAATCCATTTAGTGTTGGTGTCACGATAAAAACACCCTTGATAGCCCTAGCGAAGCATCAAGAATTCAGCTAATTGACAAGAATTTGAACTACACCAATGAAAGTATTGGTGAGTTCAATATCTGGTGAGGCCGCAAAATGATGATGATGATGATGATGAAATTTATAAATTTAAATAATTTTTCAGGAAAAGAAACTGCTCCAGCCTGTTGTCATTGTTCTTTCCAGTACTGGTTGGAGTTTCCTTCCTAATCTTTCGTTTGGAGTCGTGTGGAACGTCATCATATCGATTATTAAAGAACATAGAGACATAAAGTAATATAACAGAAAGAATACGGAAGCAAAAATAACCATCTGCTTCTAGGATGTGAAACATTTTGCGGATTAATATAGCTCGACCAGATTATGGGTTCAAGACATCCGTATATCGCAAGCCTACATTCACCGGACAATACCTCAACTTCATCTCCCATCATCCATACAGTGTAAAGAAAGGGATCGTCCGCTACTTACAACATCGAGCAAAAATCATAAGTGGCGAACCAGATACATATGAACAAGAAATGGTCAGAACAAGCAGTACCCTACAACGTAACAACTACTCCAGGTACATGGCAGCTTCTCTGGGATAGAAAGATACAAGATGATAACAAGACTCGGAAAACAGCTACAGTCTATCTACCCTATGCGAAGGGAATATCGGAGAAAATACAAAAGATCGATGGTTCATATAACAACCTTCAAAAGTGGTTCAATGCTTCGCAGACATCTCTTCCAAGTAAGACCAAACATAGAGGAGAACTTGACTAAGGACTGTGTGTAAGCCACTCCGTGCAGATGCGCTAACAAATATAAAGGAGAAACAGGCCACCCCTTAAGGTAACACTGCAGAGAACACCGTAAAGCGATAACTCGAGGAGAAATAGAAATATCAGGCGTAGCTGACCACATATGGAGGGAAAAAGGAAGATCGCCGCCTCCTGTGGGATGAGGTTGAAATAATAGACAGAGAACATCACTGGAAAATACAAAAAACTTAAGGAATCAGCACATATGCTAGGCCACAAAAATATCCTGAGCCGACCAAGCATAGAAATGAATACAATATAGGAACCAGCAATAAGAAGTGCAAGAGAAAAGCAATGAGTAACAACAAAAATTGCAATATAAGCTCTGGTAAAAAAAAGTATAATAATAATAGAAAAATTGCAATAGGAGCACAGGTAAAAAAAAAGAAAGCTGAGGCATTAGTATTATAAGTTCCAGAAATTCATACGCAAATGTCCACAAAGACACATGGCCCAGTGGATAAAGTCGCATTGACTAGAGCCCAAAGCGTTGTGAATTCAACAATTGGAAACAACTCAACTTAAAGTTGATTTTCCCTATACCTCAACTTGGACAGTTGAGTAAAAGGGAAATAACTGATACATCTGGAAGAGGCATAACACGTGGAACTAGAACAATCTATCCCGGTGGACGAAATAAAAGGCAAGGGCGTTGTGAATATGGCAATATAAGGATAACATAGGATAATGAAAGCTACCTTGGTCTTAAAGACGACCATAATACTGGCATTTGCGAAATACCGTCGAAAATAGTTTAATAGGCTAACTTAGCTGGATATGGTGAGGAATATCTACTAAGTTAACTGACATAAACTCTTTCTTTCTTTTTTTTTTTTAGTCTCTAACATTTCTCAGGATGTTCGCGTCTTCGCTTCTTCTGACATCATGAATTGCCATACAGTTTCTTTTTTCTTTCTTTCTCGCTTTTCTTTCTTTCTTTCGCGTTTGCCTATTATTTCTCGCTTGTCTTTCTTTCCTTTCTCTCTCTCTTTTCTTTCTTTCCTTTCTTTTTTCTTTCTTTCTTTTTTCTTTCTTTCTTTCGCATTTTCTTATTCTTTCTTCCTCGATTTTCTTTCTTTTTTCTGTTCTTTCTATTCTCGCTTTTCTTTATTTTCTGTATTTCTTTTGCATGTTATTATTCATTTTACCTTTTCCTTTCTTTCTTTCTTTATTTATTTATTTTTTCACGTTTTCTTATTCTTCCTTTCTTGCTTTCTTTTGCATTTCCTTAGTCTCTCTTTCTTTTTTTCGTTCTTTCTTTCTTTCAAATTTTCTTATTCTTTCTTTCTTCCTTTCCGTCTTTCTTTCTTCCATTCTTTCTTTCTCTGCATCTCCTAAAGTCGTGAATTAATTTCCCTATATTTTATATTTTTATATTTTTTCTCATTCTATTTTTATATATTTATATATAATCACTTCCTTTCTTTCTTTCTTTTTTCTTTCTTTCCAGATTTTTACCCATTAAGATATATTCACTTTCTTTCTTTTTCTTTCTTTTTTTCTTCTTTCATTCTTTCTTTCTTTCTTTGTTTCTTTCATTCTTTCTTTCTTTCTTCCTTTTTCTGTCTTTTTTCTTTCTCTCTTTCTTTCTTTCTTTCTTTCTATTTTCTTACATATTCTGATATAATCACTTCTTTTATCTTGTTCTTTCTATCTCTCCATTCAGTTTTCTTTCTTTCTTTCTTTCTTTCTTTCTTTCTTTCTTTCTTTCTAGTCAAACACATAATCTCTTTTCGTTTTTTTCGTTTCTTTCCTTTTCAGCTTCTACCATTTCACCGGATCTTCGCGTCTTCGATTCTTCTGTAACCACGAATTAATTGCCATACATTTTATTATTTTTTTCTATCATTTACCATTCATCTTTCTTCATTTCGGATAGCATTCGAAAAGCCACACGATTATGGAAAATTATTTTTATCATTTTTTAGTAAAGAACATCGAGACAGAAAAAACAGAAAGAACACAAAAGTAAAAATAACATTCTAGTAAGCGACACTTTTGCGTATTAAGAATCTAGCTTCGTTGGTCTTAAACACTTCCATTATATTTTCATTCTGGCATTCCCAAAATACCTACAAAATACCCGTTCCCTAAAATAGTTTAATGGGCTAAATTATAGCCGGATAAGGTGAAGAATATCTACTAAGTTAACAACCAATTGTTGCAATGCCATGTTCGAGGACAGACCAATAAGAAATTAAACCTGTCACCAGAGATGTTAATTCTAGATGCTGTTCCACAGCGAGAAATAGAGAAATCTGAAAGTAGATAGATCATTCTATAGCAATCCTAATAGTATTGGTACTGTGTAGTATTAACAGTTACCAATTAACTAATAATCGACATTTATTGAGTGAGCGGCCAGTGCTACCATCACTTGAAATTTATAAAATATTTCTATTTAAATAATTTATCAGGAAAATAAAATACTCAAGTCTGTTGTTATTGCTCTTTCCCGTACAGATGCTAGTTTCCTTCCTAACCTTTTGTTTGAAGTAGTATGAAACGTCAATATATCTATCATCCCGTTATCTTCTCTTCGTTTTATATGTGATATCCATTTAAGTCGCTGCTGTTGATGAAATTTCTCAAATGAGCTGAATTCTCTTATTTTTACGGTACTTTGTGATTCTGTAGCACTAGACCTCAAGGATCAAACAAGCTCACTGACATCTACATGTGTCATTTGAACAAAGCTATGTTTAATCATTAGAAAAGCAGTCGTATAAAGTATAGTTCTGGCTATGTGTTTTCGATCTTTGACTGGGATGTCCTTCCGAAATATTGTTTAAAGTAGTCTGGAATGTCAGCATTATTTTTTCTTCCAGTTGCACGTTCCATCCATTTAGTTGTCGCTGTTGTCTTCAAATGATGTGATTTCTGATATTTGCTATAGATCTTTGCATGCGATTGTGCAGCGCCAGTCCACGTCAGTTGTCTTTGCTTCCATGTTTAATCGTTTATCTAAGGAAGAGATAGCATGTGCTCACAGTTAAGATATTTCTTAACGGTTTGGGCGCCATATATGTCATCCACGTGTAATTTTCATTCTGCTGAGGCTATTTAAGCATAACGCTCGAGTTTTTGTAGCTTAATGTTTAGGTTTTGTAGCAACTAGTTGTCTTAAGTGAAACTATCCCTAATGCAGCCTATTCTATGTTCAGTTTCCTTATCAACCATATTAAATTCGTTATAATAGATCCATACACCGAGGTATTTGAAGCACTTATTAATTCAACGCGCTAAATTTCTTTATCAGGTCACGTGACTGATATGTCCCGGAAAGGGATATATTTGATCGAAATAGCTAAGTGGGTTTTGGCTACTGTAACCAAGTAGTACAGGGTAGCAGTAATCGACTGGTACTCGTCGTAGTCGCTGGTAATAAGTGTAGACCAATAGGATAGCCAATGGCGTAGTCCAATTGGGCGTCGTCACAGACTTAAACTCTGTTGTACCTACACGTCCGTCGGTATTTATGTCGGACACCAGCCAATCATAATCCAGTGAGGGGGAACTCAGGTGTATGCATATTCCATTATATCAGTGACATTACGTCATTCATTATGATCTTAGTTTCTGTTTGGCAAAGGTTTATTTTGAGTCCTATTTTTTAGAATACATGGCACCTCGATGCTTCATTTGAATAAAGCTATTTTTAAGAGCTGTGAAATATACAGTATAGTTTCCTGGGCGGTGTTGACATCTATTCCTAACATCTATTTCAAAGTCTCTATCTCGCTTGGATATTTAAGAATATGGCTCAAATACTTCGTTGTGGATGTTGATCTTTTTTTTCTTTTTTTTTTTCTTTTTGTTTTGCTTCAGAATCATTCTTAGCCCAACTGCGAATACCGAAATGATCGGTTACCTTCCGCTGCCCACCGTGGGTGGGATTATCATCTCTCTGTCTGTGGGCACAGGTGCAGCTGCGGAAAAATAAATACTGTGATGTGTTCCGGGCTATACCTACTGATTATACTAGAGACTAGCAGCATGGCCCGGCGTTGCCCGTGCTTGATTCAAAAATCTTACGACTCATACAGCAATCGCTATCACTTGACTTCAAATATTTTTGCCCTTCCTTGCCTTTAAAGGAGTGCCCTTTGCCGTGCTGATGTTGCTACATGCCTTACTTCTTGCCTATCTCAAACTGCGAATTTTTTCTAAGCTCTATACTAAACATTAAATCTGTTACAAAAAAAGAACTAAACAAAATAAACATAAAACGATCAGCTTTAAAAAAAGGACTCGTAACTGGAAAAACCGAATAAAAAAAGAATGTTAACAACAAATACTTTTTCACACCCAACCCAGTTCTGTGGAATTAGAATCAACGTTGAGTTTAAGCAAGCGAATGGGCCAATTGGAGTAAAGTGTCATACAGATTTAAATTTTTCCTACTTGTGACGAATGCAGCTATCGATTTCTTTTTGCATGTCCAACAACAAGGCATCTGATCAGGAGGTTTTGAGGATCGTGGCACTAACTCTTAATTGCTGGTGTTTACAGGTCCACCCTGACCCAGAGTGGTAGCACCTGTTAGGGTCCCAGCGATGGGCAAATAGTTAACACCGAAACTTCGGTCAAAACGCTATGAAAGTGTAAAAATAGATTTTAATATCAGAAATACTTTTTGTAAAAAAAATATTGCCAGCAATACAGTTTTGAAGAAAAAAATATAACCTAAAATAGATTTGTGAAGGAAAAAATATTACCGGCAACAAACATTTTGTCGGCATTAAATAACCCATTGAAGTTGATATGCCGTAAAACAAAACAAACCAAACTATCGCTATGAATCTATTTCAAAATTTTGTTGGCATTAATTGATCCCCTGAAGAAAAAAATGCCTTCATACGGATAAAAAATGAATTCAATAAATATACAAAAATAAAAAGAGACGTAAGACAAGGATGGCTCTTCTTGCCGGACTTTATTTCTTGAGAGAATTTGAAGTCCGACCATTCTTCATCATTAGCGGCCACAATCTTAACAAATTAGGTATGCAGATGACTTTGTTAAGAGCAGCCATAGAAAGGAACCTACAGGAACTCGTACTGAAGGCAGTGAATAAAAGCAAGAAAGGACTAAATATCAAAGGTAAAAAAATAGAATGTCTGGTTTTCTGCAAACGAAAGAGTCCAGAGTCCAAATTAAAAACTCGAAGTACCAAAATTATACAAGATCAAAAATTTAAATATCTAGGAAGTGTTTTAACTGGGAATATGACATAGAAATCCGAATGTGTATTGGAATAGTGAAAGATGCCTTCCAAATGATAAGCAAGTTATTAAGAAACAGGAAAATTTCATTGGAAAAAAAACTTTGCTGATGTGTGATGTAATATCGGTCCTCCTATATGACAGTGAACGATGGACAATCTTCTCACAGATGGAAAAAAAAGAGACTTGATGAAACAGAAAATTGTATCTACAGAAAGATTCTAAGAATTCCATGAACTGAACTGCAAATCGACGTTTTAGAGAAAATGGAAACAAAATAGACACTTATGCGTAGCGACAGAAAGAGACAGTTGAAATATCTAGAGAACTATTTACTTTTAGGAGGGGAAATCGTGTTAATCATTTTCTGGAGTAACTTCTCAAATTACACAGCAGACAACAAATATTGTCGAGTGAAATTTGAAAGCCTTAAGAGCGTTTGGGATACCGTCGCTGATTGGTTAATAAATGCTAATGCGAAAATTCAAATTGGAGCCGGCTTTTTGCACCAAAAAAATCAATTAAGATGTATAGCGACATTGCATAAATCTAATGAATTTTTCTACATTTTTTAACGGGGCTCCACAAATATATACCGGGTGTAACAGTAAAATTGTTCATTTGTTAGATTAAGCTTTGAACCGTTCTATCTTAGAAATGATTAAAGATATCTTACTGGAATTATCCGAGGTTTTTATAACACTATTGAACTCGGAGCAATAGGAAGAATCGTGATGAAATCGATCATAAACGAAAGTGAGATTTTCATCATTAATCAATTATAGCTAAAGATCGGAAGTTCATGAACGATTGAAATCAAGTTCAAATATATATATTATTTTCCAACGTATTCAAGACTATCTTCGCCCTCTCTAAATTTCTAACTTTCTGTCATGGAGTAACAAAGTGTCACACACGTTTTCATTTTTAACGTCTTTTTTTGCTGCTCTTTGGACTGTCATAGCTGAAACTCCTCTCTCACTTACAAAACGTCTTATAGATTGAGTTGGATCTTTTCTAATTGATCTCTTTAGCTCTAAGATTAAATGATAAACCCTCTTCCTCCTGTAACCTCCTGATCCAGTTTTCCTCTCTACTGTTCCCTCTTTTTTAAACTTATTCATCGTTCGCTCTATGGTTTTTGAATGGGTTTTACAGATGGAAGTCAGAGTATGAACATTGGTACCATTACTGGAGGCCTGAATGATCTTTTTCCTCTCACCATTGCTAAGTTGTAAAGATATAGTGGAGCTGGGACAAAATTATTTAAACCAGTTCCCTTTCTAGCTAAATAACTCAAAAGAATTTTCAGTGATTCTTACGACAAATGGTGTCAAGATAGCTAAATGTCTTATCTAAAAACCTGGAAAAAAGAAACTTAATTAGTTTAGTGGCTTTTTTTAATAGACAATTATACTGCTAGACATTTGGACAATTCTGCTGTTTCACATGGTATATTATGAGAGTCCCGTTTATCTAACCTAAAAAGAATAACTTTGAATTTCCCCCCACCTGGCAATATGGGCCCCTTTGATTTCAAGACAATGCACTACATGAGCTAAAACAAAACGAGAAAGCACGAAAAGGTAACAATATCGATTCAGTTACTGCTCACTTTGTCTGCCTAGAGTGTGAGCGAGTCTGTCTGTCAAATGCCGGCCTGTCGAGTCATCAACGTGCCCAAGCTGACAGACCGTTGATTAACCACGAAACGTTGATTAACGTCAATCATATGGCACGTGTGGCGCGCGGAAAAGTTTCCAAAAGTCGATCTGGCCTAACAAGGCACCTGAAAGTGCACCGTCTCTCTGGGACTGATGAAGACCGCAAATTAAACGAAACTACCGAAAGGTACTGGTTTTTTATGAAGGTGGAAAATATGTAATATATTTCCTGGGTTCAAAAGAAACAACCAACATTCTGATGATCGGCAATAACAAATTGCGTTAAAAGTCAGTGATGTTTTGTCTATATCTCTGAGATGAGGTATTATGATTATTTGTACTCTTTACATTACTCGGACTGTTATCCTCATCTTCATTGCCATATTTACAACGGTTCGGCTGTTGTACGCTCCGTCTTTCTTCAGATGATTGGATGTCTGAGATGAGGTATTATGATTACTAGCATTATGTACATTACTCGGACTGTTATCCTCATCTTCATTGCCATATTTACAACGTTTCGGCTGTTGTACGCGCCGACCTTCTTCAGGTGATTGGATCTCTGAGATGAGGTATTATGATTACTAGCATTATGTACATTATTCGGACTCTTATCCCCATATTCATTGCAATATTCACAACGTTTCGGCTGTTGTACGCGCCGGTTTTCTTCAGGTGATTGGATATCTGAGATGAGATATTAAGATTAAATGTATTATGTACATTATTCGAACTCTCATCCTCATCTTCATTGTCATATTCACAATGTTTGAATATCGAACCGACCTCTTTATTTCGTCCACTGAGGTATATTGTTCTAGTTCCATGTGCCATGACTCTTCCGGACGTCTGAGTTATTTTCCTTTTATTCAAGTTTTGCTTCACCACTACTGTGGCCTGGTATTGAACCCATATGGATTGTTTACAAAGCTGAGACGAAAACTCAATCAGGAGGTCACACCAAAAGAGCTATCATCATTTTAACTTAGATTTAAATACATTCTTATTGTTCAACGTAGAGTTCATTGTGGGTCTAGTCACTGGATTTAACTAACGTCTTTATCCACTGGGCCATGTGTCCTCAAGAACATATTACAACCCGAATAATGTAAATAACGCAAGTAATCAGTAATGGTCATGCTATGTTAATTTTTTTTTTATTATTTTATTTTACATTCATCGCCCTTCAGGTCGACGAGTGTACTCAATGATCTTCAACAAAAGCATTTATTGGGATGGAACAAAATTCGTAGTCTTTTTTCAAAGGCTTGCAATTGAACGCATGGTTTTGTTTCACCCTTGACTGAAAATGATGGCCTATATGCATATTCTGGAAGGTTATATTTTGTTACGTTATTTGATACGCTTCCTGTATACATTGTAAAATTTAATATGGAGGAAAATGATATATAATTTCGTCATTTGACGCTCGTTTATTTATAGAAAATTAAAAGGCGGTAGAAAGAGAAAACAAAAAACATATGCGCCGTTTATGGACATAGTGCTCTAGATAGTTACATTAGGAGAAGCTTTTTTTTATCTCGAGAACAATGACCAAATCAAAACACTCAAAAAATATAATGGTGGTCACATAACTCGGACCATCGCAGACATACACCAACTATCTAATATAGGAATTGTATGGTATTTGAAAAAACTTGAAATACGTGAATAACTGTGATGTATTGTTGCCACATATTTGAAACAACAAACAATCCATTTTACTTCATTTTAATGAAGTAAAATGTTGTAAAATGGATTGTTTACAAAACTGAGACGAAAACTGAATCAGGAGGTCACAACCAAAATGGTATAATCATTTCAATTTAGAGCTGAATGCATTCTTATTGTTCAAAGTAGAGTCCATTAGTGTCATCGCAGAATTCCAGTAAGATATATTTAATCATTTAAATATATCTAAGGAACACATCACATAAAAGAAGAAGATTCACAAGAGAGACTGAGGCAAAGAGGGACAGAGGGAAGCATCGCCTAACATACTTGATAAGATTGAGCAAATAACAAAATGTCAAAAATTCATCGGTTCAAAGCTT